GGGGGGGGTGAACAGGAGCAGGATGTTAGTCAGTGTGCGGTAAATGAGGCATTGCAGCTGGAAACACACAAGGTTTAGAGGAAAGGAGTTCTCATTGGTTGATTTAGTTAAAAAATATATAATCTTGAAGAATTATCGGGAGCATTTTGATACAGTTCGGTGTCAGGTGGTATCGTCTGTACATCTCTCTGGTGCTAATACAGGCTTAAAATTCTAAACTTTGTTTACATTGTTATGTATAAAAACATCTGGGTCACACCAGCTGGTACCTGGTTGCTGATGGTGTTCTTCTGTCCCCCGCTCTGCTGCAGAATTGGCTTTAAGGGAGGAAAGCCTTTGGAGCCTCTGCCGGTGGCCATCTCTCTGAGGCCGTATGAAACCTCAAACTTAACCGGAGTATAAATGTCCTTGACATCCTTCTGTGGGAGGAAGAAAGAGGCACATAGGAGGAATAAACACTGTTGGTGCGTGTGGATATCCTGTGAGTTGTTCACTTTTTGTTTGCTTATGTCCAAGAGTATTACCCTTTGATAAGCCACATGTGTTGCACAAGCCAGTTGGCTGTGTCTTGCTCTCACACGTCCCCTTGTGCTATTTGACGACCCGTTACCGTGGAAATAGAAGCGATGAGGGAAGTACGGTTTGTGGAGGAGATCAGAGGTCAAATTGTACTGAAGGTCTGAGAGTGAAAATAAGAAAATAAACCTTACATTTTCATCTAGTTTATCACCATGGTCGTACTTAACGACCATTAAGGAGAAGAGCGTTACGAAGGAGGGGTTTATCAACGTAAGTGATGCTAATAATCTCAGAAATCCACTAACAAAAACCTGAGTGCTGTCAAAAAGGTTCAAAGTACCTATAGGGCCTCGGAAGCGTCTGGACGTGACACTGAAGCAGACGGTAACGTTGAAGCAGACGGTTTGAGGTAAATGATCTCCACACAGAGCCACCTTTCGGTCAATCTGATTGGGCAGAGTCAGAGATGCCTTCACCTGAATCACAGGACGGGTCCTGAGGGGGACAGTCAGAATAGCTTGTTACAACATGTTAAATGGGCTTCAGTGCAGTGTTTCAAGTATAAGTTGGACTTTAATGTGACCTTCACAAGGTTTAAACACATTCATTTGGACGTGCATGAACAGTGCAGGCACATGATACAACTTTTATAAACACACGTAAACAGCAAATATATTTCCACACGTAGACCAAAAACATGGTTTGAACTGGAAGCTGCATGGTGGATTTACCTGAGAACCACAGCTGAGTCTGAGAGGAATGCACCAACTGCCACATCTGTAGGGACATAGTTAAACTAATTTAGAAAGATCACATAAAAACAGAAGTGTACAATACTGCAAATACTGTTACTGAGTAAAGCAATTACCTGAGTAGCCATTATCATCTATATCAATGCCAGAGCTCAGTGACTGTCCAAACATCCTCAGGTCATGACCCAGAGAAGATCCTGTGATCCTCTGAAACACCACCCAAACACATCAGGTAGACTATCATTAGACTAATAACAATACTTGGCCCTTCTTCCTAATATTACGGGATTGTAAAAATTCCACTGCTTTATTTGGGTAAATTCAGTTACTAGTTCCTCTCTATTTAAGATTCTCAACTTTCAATATGCAAAGATAACAACTAGACTACATAGATGTGTCTACAATCATTTATTTTAAAATGATAATCTATTTTAAATGATCATGATAATGATGATGATCTTTTAAAAGGGATGTTCAACAAATAATGTTCTTATTTCAGTGTTTCTGGTGCACACATATTGTGTAAGCATGTGCACTGTTCTTGGAATTCGCACTAATGTTTGTACCTGTGACGGAGTAGGAGAAATGCCCTCCTTCCTGCCATTGTAGATGTAGATGGCTCCTTTCAGATCGTCTTCCTGTGGGGCACCAACCGCCACATCTACACATACACACAAATCTGTGTTAAGAAATTTGTGAGGTAAACTTTGCATTTCTTCTCTCTTGTCCGAACTTTTAAGAATACAGGCTGCTTTTTAAATCAAACTTTCAAAACTGCAGGATATATCAACTATGAAGTGGAGCCTGGACTTTTTCTCATTTCTAAAAATAGCAGAATGCAGCTGTAAAATATTCCGCGGGATGAAAGCATGAACAACCATTTCTAAAGAAGCCATGAGAAAATGTCAGCTGGGTTCTTTAATATTTAACCTGTGTCCTTCGAAGATGTGAAGGCCTGAACCTTTTTTTAAACAAACATGCAGACAGTGGTAGGCACACAGCTTACACACAGTCTTTGTTCCATCACAGCTTTCTATTCATTTCCTGTACTTGATTTCTCTTAGTATTTAACAGAACGCAACCAAATCTAGCCTGAATGATCTTTTCAACCTAATCTTAAACCTCTTTCAAAGTCTTAAAGTCTTTGTTGAGAGATGAGAGCCTCATCTCCCTACGAAAGGGAAACAAGTCTACACATGGAACTGTGTAAATGTGTATATCTAGACCACATGAGCTATACAAGCAGACATTATCCAGCTTTTTATCTAGCCGTAGCAGATTAGAGGGCAGGCGCAGTTTCAGTGCAGCACCACTTTGTCATTACTGTTTAATGAACTTAATAACACACCACACCCCTCCCGCACACACTCACATGTGAGTGTGTGCATGAGAACAGATGAGAGGGATCTCTTGTTTGAGGGCGATCGGTTAAAGTCAGGGTGACACTTCTTTATCAGGAAGTAACAACTGCTGTTGGGGAGATGGGTTGAGTAGCAGCCCCTGTGGGCAAGTGATACTGATAATGCTGTGGTGAGAGAGAGAGAAAAGAAACTGCACTCACACCTTGCAAATTACCGCTCTGAGGCAGAGAAGTTAAGCCAAAGCTGCTCAACTCAAGCTACTCAGTGGAAAACTGCACTGTTAGCATTTGCACTAGTAATGTCCAAGCAAATACAGGGAATTTTGTTATTAGTAGTTTTTGGAATAAAAAAGGATATTCTAACATTAGATGAAACACTGCAGCAGGAAAAGCTACGTTTAAGAGCCTTTAGAGATATCAACATTAATTGTGAGGGAGATGTAGCCTGCAAGACCTTGGCAATATGATCTAGATTGATTATACTTTATTACAGCTGGATTCAGGCTGAATTCCATATGATTCGAACGTTAGAACTCAATAATTAGGAATGATGCCTCAACAGAACTCAATTTGGGCATAAAGCAAGTAGGAAAACAAAAAAACTTTGGGCGTGTGTTAACTGACCGAGCCAGCTATTATAATCTTCAAAACAAGTCGTTACTCTGTGTATCGCGCATACAAACATGCTAGCCTTTGTTCACTGATTCATCTATTCAAGTAAATGAGTGTGTAGCTGATTTAATGAGACATAAACTGACTTAATGAATTGCTAATGAATGGATACTTTGACAAACTATGTGCACAGCATAGATGTTGGAATTTTGAAGTGGGTGAATGCTGAGGTTGTCCTGATTTTCTGAGTCAGATATTCAACTCACAAGACTAAATGGAAAATAGACTTTTTATGCCAAAACTAGAAGAAGCTGCAAAAAATGTTAGCAAAATAACACAGCTCTGTTCAAGCATTGCTGATAGTTTTCCGTTGAATTTAACGGAAACTGATGGATCAAACCTTACAAGTGCAAGATTTACCTGGGTAACCATCGTCGTCCAGGTCTCCCAGGTCAGCAATGGTCTCTCCAAAACGGGCGGCGTATGCATCATTGCCTCTAAGCTGGAACTCCATCTCCACCAACTTTGCCTAAGTAAGTTTGTTAGGAGAGGGCAAAATGTTTGTCATACAAAAATGACAGGACAGCCAGTAAACTAGCAGAAATGCCGGGGTTACATTCTTACCAGACCCTCATTGATGAACACATGGACTCTTCCTTCCTCTCGACTGGAACCTGTTGCGAGGGGAGCGCCGACTAACAGGTCCGACAAACCGTCGGCGTTCAAATCCACCGCGCACACACTGTGGCCAAAGTAAGATCCCAGCTACAGAAAGGGACACGTCATTCAGATGCTGACTGCTCCACTGTTATGAATCAAAGATGTTTAAACTGCAATGGTCCTCACTTCTTCTCCAGATACTTGGGAGACGACCTTCAGCCAAGTGTTTTCTAACGTGAAAATATACACCTGCACCATTCAGACACAGAAGCGTTAGTATCAACACAATCGGAAAGGAGACACTAAGTGTATTGTGAAGTTGCTCCTACCTTTCCCTTCTGGTTAGATTGTGGAGCTCCACCTACCACCTCCACAGAGGAAGGACCCATAAAGTGTCCGGCTCCAACGGAGTAACCTGCGTAGCAGCGGGATACAGCGTCACACAATCTGCATTTAACTAATACTAATAAACCCGAGAAATGACATTTTATTACACTGTTTAATATGTATCTACTATTTAGTTTCATTTTTATAGAAACAGATGCAGATTGTTAAGTTTTTTTTTGTAGAGGCAGATGTGTTGCAGATGTTCTGTGAGGAGGGAAATGCATCTAGGCTTGTGGAAAGTGCAGCTTACTTTCACTGCTGCCACCACTACTGCTAGCATTTAGACAGACCCCACCCTGTCCCAACATGACCCTTAGAGCTTCCTTTATAGGTGGGGGTGAGCCACAAGGTCAGAAGCTAAAAGCTAAACAACACAGCTGTCTTCTTTCAACATTTCTGAAGCAATCCATACCACGTGGGACAGATAATTCAATTTTTATTTCTTACCAAGAAAAGCCCGCATGGCTTCCATAAGTGGGGTAATACATATTGTTTATTTGTGTCGTGGTATTTTAATGATAAGAGTTGTTTTTAAGACATCATGTGTCCTGTATTTGGTATTCAAATTAACCACATTGAGCATTACTTAACTAATTCTAATTATCTGGTATAAAGGTCTCTTCCAATTTTTTTTTTTTTTTTTAAACTGAGCAGAACTAATGATTTGTACGGGGAAAAAACAGCATTGCAGTGACATCAAGACCAGATGAGGGTGTACACATACCTCCCTTTGCCTTTGTTATTCACACCTCTGTGTTTCACTCTGATATGTAAAGATTTGTAATGAAGTTGGTTTCCTTTCACAAGCAAATGTTTGCATCCCCTTTTGTCATGGGGAGGTTTCGGCTGCACACTAATCTATGCTTAGCCAAAGAAAACATATTTGTTCCCCACCAACAAGAGTTTGTGGATATATAAAAATAAGCACCTTTCAAATATGTTAAAAACAGCCCAATTCAAACTGGCAATAAAGCACAAACTGCATCACAAATGACTACTTGAGAATGAGTGTCCTTTTTTTTTACATGGAAAAAATATATTCTATACTTACAAAGACCCCCTACACAGAGAAAACACACCTGGCCACAGGCCTGTACTATCACCTATGTTTGTGATACTCTGACAAAATGAGAAAAACATTAAAAGGTTTCAGTTTGAGAACACTGCAGCTTCCTCAGCAGCTTTGTGTGACATCCTGATCAGCAGAAACACAAAACGATACTCGTGAGAAACCCCTCATTGTTTTCATCTCCTTTTGCTCCATACTATGAACCGTCTTAATCTTTGATTATTTTTGTTGTTAAGAATCCCTGATCTTGGAATTCACTTAAATACTTTCTGACTGGGAGTTGGCGTCATCTTAAAAGGCTGCTCTCCTTCACATGTGAGTGAAGGAGAGCAGCCTTTTAAGAAACTCGGCTGTATTAATAACCACTTTAGTAATACTTTAACAAATAATGCAACTCTAAGGAAATTCCAGTGCCCCTTTAAGAATTTGCAGTGAGTTTAATAACAAAAATCCCGAGCTATGTGATCTCAAATCTTCAATCATTTCGGAGGGTTGTTTTGTTCGATTTTACTGACTGACTGAAATGCTCATGTCTATTCCAACAGTGTAGTTAAGGTCAGACTGAAAACCTGCTTCCTTTGTCTGTCATGCATTAGAGCTAGCTAACTTCCAGAAGTCTTCTTGTCATGGTAAAGTTATGAGCTATGAGTTAAACAGGTTCAAGCAGGAGGAATACAAAACGTTTCTGAAAGATTCTTACATCAGAGAGATGAAAAGGCAAAAGTTCTATGCACACTGACAAATACTGTGAGGAGTTTTAGTAAACATATGGTCAATTTGGATGTCTTGAAATTAGCGTTACAGCGAGAAATATTGTAACAAAAACAAGGTGAGCTGTCAAAGAAGCAGTATTTTTTTCTTTAGGGTGTGAAACAGGTGTGGTGAGAAAAGAGTTTTTTTTTATACATATGTGTCAGTGAAATCTCGCACAATCTCGATTTTGGGAGACTTCTCACAGCAAAATCCGAAAAACCTCAGTGCGCATGTGGTTTTATATCAACCCTCTTGAGGTGAAAGCAATCTTTAGGTTTTCTAAACATGTCTGACTTTAACAATGTTTAGCTTGTTCCTGATGCTGCTTTACTGCTGCAGAAAATGTTTGCATTAAATCAAACTTGAGCTCATTTTATAGATTACCTGACAGACAACACTACGTAAAACAAGCTCTGTGAACACTTTCAGAACATAGACTATATATAATAGGCAAAAAGATGCCTTTCAATAATATATATTTCAATATATATATTTTTTAACCAACAGAATGTGCCAAGATGTTGGAAGCAGTCAATAGTGATACCTGTGACTAAGACTAACCACCCTTAAGCTTGTGAGCACTTTAGATCTGTGGCACAGGATTCCCTTGTCATAAAATCCATGGAAGAATTAATAAAGAGACATCTTTTTATTAAGACTGAACACCTACTTGACGTTTTAAAGTTTGCCTACAGTGCCGAGTTGAGGATTCCATGGCTTGCAAAAGAAAACTCTCCAAGTTTCAGTGCCTGATGATCATACTTTACAGATCACATATTGAATCTGTGCTAACTTCTTGTCTACTTTGCTGGTTTGGCAACCTTGGCAAAAAAAATGCACTAAGCAGAGTGACATAGAAAATTAATAAGATGTTGGGACCTGTTAAGTACCCTGATAATGAGGAAGGTCAATGCCATTCTTTCTTACAGCTACTATCCTTTACATTTTCAGTTCCAGGTTCTACCTTCTGCACCCCGCCTTACATTTCCTCCTGTTAAAAGTAACAGTTACAAACGCCATAGCCATTTCCCTTTTGACTACAGGGCCAGGTGGGAAAGGTTGGTTGATTAGTTCATATTGTTTTTAGTTCTTTGTTTCTACGTGGCCTCTCTGATGTTGGCAGAAGTTGATGATGCGCACTGTTTGCACTTTCCCTACTTTGTATGGGCTGCTACCTCACACATTATCATTTCCTCCCTCTTTTATTTTTTAAGTCTCATTCACTTGCTCCAACACTACTTGCCCTTGGGGGACATAAATGAAGCTGAATCTAAACTGGTGCATTATATGTACAGTCTTTACAGAGACGGGTGTATACAATTACCCAAGTAGCTTCCAAAGTTGACAACTCCAGTTCCATCGTCTAAATACGCTGTAAGTCCGTTACTAGTTGTGTTGTAGACCAGAACGGATCCCATCCAATAAAACGCTCCTGGTGCTCCCATTATGATCAGGTCCTGAGGAAGGATGACCACTATGTCATGACTCTCTCCACAACCAGAGCTTTACTAAAACTGTAAGCGTCACATGCACCTAACAATCACAAAACCGATGGTATATCGTTTTAATGTAGAAGCTTTGAGTGAAAAAGTGCACAAACTTTATTCTATTTTAAAACGAGCAGATGCCTCTATAAGCTCCTGTTTTTAAAAAGATGACACGCCGTCAAATGTGGAAAACTATTTTTGCTGTTCTAAACTGGGGAAGACCAATTCTGAAGCCAGTGTGTTACTGACCTCTGTCAGGAAGTTGGAAATACCCGCCTGACAAGATCCATAGCTCTCGCCAAACTTCTTCTCATGATCTATAACAAAGAGACAAAGGTGTTGAGCGGTTGAAGGTGAGCAAACGAATATAAAGAAAAAATAAACAACAGCAAGGACATATTTTGTGTTCAGGAGCTCTCTCAAAAATCAAGTATCATCTTCAAGTAACCATTTTAAGTGCTTGTTTATTTTGACTATTAGTTTTAACAACCAACAGCAAATATTTATGCCGAGGAACAGCCCTCAAGTAGAACTTAAATCACTTCTGCCTTTTGCATGACCACTTCTTGAGGCGGTTCTTCTGTCAAGTCAGGATATGATCATGTTAGCATATTGTGGTTGTGACGGGAAGTGTGTTGAAACATATTTATTTCCCAAAAGCTCTTGCAGAGTTACTTGTACACCACAAAATGAGAAGAAGCACCCAAGGTCAAAAACAAGGTGTTAAACAGCTTAGAACAGTTTTGCATCCCGTGATAGGAGACACATAACTTTTTTTTTAACTCCCAGTCTATTTGAGTCAACAACAAGACAAAGAAGACACGTCATGAGTGTCTGTGGTCGTTTATGCATGAGCAGTGTTTCCCCCTTGATTGACAGTTAGTTTGGGATGAAAGTGGTGAGTATTCATACCTTTATAGCAGGGGATAATGTGCCGGGAATGGCTCAGGTCGCTGCCATAGCGATAACAGACCCCAATGGGCAGCTTGTTGCTTTGGCTGTCAGTTCTTGAGTAGAAGACGTTCTTCCATCGGTGAGCACATGCCTGAGCACAAACAAACAGCATATTACACCAGGAAACATGTGACAAGGACTCATTACTCAGTCACACGTTAGCAGCAGAGTGTTGTTGCTCCCATGACCCATGACAGAGACTGTTCGTCAAACACTATCACTAACCGAGCAACGGAGACGAGAGGGGAGAAAGACGGTTCCCCCTACAACTTCCAAATTTAACCGTCTGCCGTTTGGATGCTCTACAGTTGTTCTTCATAACTTAGATTTTCAAAGGTTGCCAGTCCATCACAATACCAGGGAACAAACAACGCAAAATAACATGAACGTTTTATCCTAACCGTGAAATTAAAATCAGTATTTAATTCAACATGCACATTTTCTTGAAATGCAAAGGAGAACTCCAGGCTGATGATTCAAGCGGGGAACCTTTTTTGCTGTGAAGCAAACAATGCCTCTGCACAGCCATGCCACAAACAGCCGTGTGAAATTTACATAAAAAGGGGGAAAAAAAGAAAAAGAGCTACAAAAAATGGTTCTCAGATTTAGAAGAACTTTTCACACAACATGTTAAAGGCATAACCACACACAGGTATCCTGTGTGTGTTTTTTTTAACAAACACAGGGGTGATGTAAGGACTTCAAAGGTGTAAAGACACTTATAAATGTTTTAAATTTCAATGGATGTGGGAACATAGCAAAACTACTTTTGTCGTTGAAAGAATAAGGTGAATATACACAGTTACACACTGCTTATCAGACATTTTAATGCACCTCCCGACAGATACTGAGCAAACAAAACAGCACATTAACACACACTCTCTCACACACACACACACATGCACATGCAAACACACAAACACACACACACTTGTGGATTATGTACCTTTCCATACTTAAACATGTCCAATGATAAAGTTTGATCAATGATTGTCAGCTTAATTTCTGGGACCTTTTACATCATCTCATATTGTCACTGAGCTCTGACACAGTTCGTTCGTATGCGGAACCAAAGGGAAAAATTGTGGCGGTTTCAAAACGATGTCTTGGTTTTGGTGCCGCTGTGGTATAACCCCTGTACTGTCTTAGTGAGAGTTTCTACAGGAAGGAAGTTATGGTTTTTGGAGTAAACAACTCAAACTAGAGCTGCATGTGACCAAAATGACAAAAAGCCAGGGGAATATTGTCAGAACATATTAAAATGGATTAATAAGGTTTATAGAAATAAAAAAAGCCAATTCTTATAGAAGAATAAAAACAGCAGCCACAATAAACAGCTAAAGGTAGCATGTGTAAATGTGTGTGCATTACCAGGACGTGCCCTCCATGTTCTCCAGGCTGTCTGGACAGACTGACGCCCAGCCACTGGTGATCACTTTCAGCTAGACACGTCTTCCCACAGTTTGAAACCCCTGCACACACACATACATACAAACTGGTCACACTGCTGACATCACAGTCAAATATACCTGTTTTTCTAAGCAGTATGAGTATGTTTAACTGATGGGCTTATAACACACAATAAGCAAATACAAAGATATTTCAAATGTTTTTGGAAAAAAAAAAAGGTTTCCATATTTGGATGGCATAATATTACTGAAAGCATGAAGAGGAAACACTTAATACAGACCTGTGGGCATGTGGAAGCACTGTCGGGACTCAGATGTGATGTTACAGCGGAAAACAGCTCCTGGAGATCGAACATGGGGACTGGAGGACACGTTTGCTACTGGAGCTCCAACCACCAACCTGAGAGGGAAGGATGGGCAGTTGAAAAAGAAATAGGACGTGTTTGAATGGAGTGCTTTGTGTGAAGCATCAAAGGCCTTCTGTCATTGGAAAGAATTGGTTAATTATGGTTTACACACAGAAGCATTCAAACAACCTCAAGATTGATAACATATCAATCTATGTAGCTTTACAACCTACCAAAAGGAGTAGAAAGGAGTCATTTTTTTCTACTAAAAAAGGAGACAAAACAATTAACTAAATATAAACTAAATAATAGTAAACTACATCTGCAGAGAATCAAAAAGCGATTCATAAATATATGACAGTCTCATTGATAGATCGGTAATCAAAGTTTGGTTTCAATTATACCATTTGTGAGATTTATGGCGATGCAGCAGCACTGAGTATCCAAACATGGAGGAGGAGGGCCCACTGAACTCCATACTGTGTTCCTGATCCAGATTGTAGCCTGTGGCAGGACAGACCAGAACCAGGAGCAGAACCAAACTGCAAAGCACCCACACACTGTCTCCAGAGGAGCCCATGCTGAAGGGAAAACTGCAGAAAAAAACAGAGAACATACTATGATTAATCTATTACAATCAAAACACATAAGACGAGGACGGAAGGATAAGGATTTAAGATAATTGAAATATCAAATACAAATCCATAACTTTTTTTTAAATTCCACAGTCACAGACATGCTTGTTTCAGACTCTTCAGTTCACTTGATGAATTTATTGTGTTTATATCTATATATATAATTCAAATCAGGGTAAAGAAAAATTTGTTGTTTTTGCCAGCTGCTTCCCTATTTGAACGCTTTAGGTTAATATCTACTATACAGCTGAGGGTGTGGTATGACTCTTCTCATCTAAAAGTAAACTTGAGAAGTCAGTCAAGGATACATCCCAATCATTCTACAGTCAAAATCTGCCCTAGGCTTTCTGTTGAACGTTTTATCCTCATTCTAATCCTGAATCAGAGGAAAACAGGGCAGCACCTCCTCTGCGAGGAAGACAATGTGTGGTGAAAATGTTAGGAAGTGAACACAGATTAAGCCTTATCAATCCGTACCTGTGAATTAGCTTGTTGAATAAACATGCTTTTGTTTGTTTGTTTTGTTTTGTTTTCTTCCTTAGTTACTGATCAGGAAAAGTCCGAATTTAAAAACTGTGCTTCATTTTGTCACTTCAGGCGTTTAGTGTGATAACAAATTTAAAAATGTTCACTTACAAACTCGTTTTATTTTATCAAACTGTTGAACACCATCTTCAAAACCGTTAGCCGTAACCCCCCAGCCCCCTCGGTTTAACAGATATTGTCGATACAGAAAATTTGCGTCTAAGGAATATGACTCACTTCTCATAATTTATTACAGGACTAACGGTCAAAGCTTCGCAGGTTACGTACCGCTCAGGCAGCTGAGAGCCCCTCCCGGGTCTGTCTATGTCAGACTGGCAGAAATATGCCAAAGTGATGAAGTTTGTTGTATGTGCACCGTCAAAAACCTCCTCTTTCCCGTTGAGCTTCAGGCGTAAAACCTCCTGTTGCTTCTGTCCTGCGCGTGAGCAGGTTGCGCGTGAGACTTCTTGGTTCTTGACCGAAAATCCACCTGAGCACTTGAGTTTGAGATACTTACGAACTCACAAAAAAGGAATTAGTCGGCATAAGACCCAACTTGACTCAGTTTGAATGAAACTGAGAGCCGACCGAGCTCGTGGAGACACTCCCTCGGTCTTGTTGAGAGCGCGCGCGTCTCTAACGATGTTTCCCCTCCACCCGCACAGTCCGCCCAAAATCAGGGCGCGTGGAGGAGAGCACGCGGCTCCTTCTGGGTGTGTGCGTTTGGAGCTGCCCGCGTGTGTGTTCGAGGTGTTTCCTCCTCAGTTGTCGCCAAAGTGCTAATGTTAAAGGTGTGGCGGTGATGTCGTTGTACTGTCTGTCACCAGAAATAAATATGTACTCGACAAACGGAAAAAACAAACAAATAAATAAATAAACTGAAGCTTTTTATAAACTTTTTTTTTTTTACATTGAAGTTCATTACCATCTAAATACGTGAATATGTCAATATACAGCTCATCCGGTCGCTTTTTCAAAGTTTTGAAGAAAAGCCCTCGCAATATACATGTATCATCACTTTCTCACATTACAAAAAGCTAAGTTTAAGTTTTGCCATACATGGAAATGTTGTATTTTTCTTTGTGGATTAGCTGAACAGATAAATCATTTAGTTCCAAAAAATTATATCTGTGTGAAGAAGTTTGCTTAATCGTGTAATGGTAATTCTACCCAATTGACTCCAACCCTAACCCTAACCCTAGTCCTCGCCCAGAACAGTGGAACTAGTTACTTTTTACTTTTTCTAGTCCCGGATTTTTTACATACGAAAAGAAAATCAGTTAACACTATGTGGTGTAGTTTTTATTCTAAGAAATTTAGTTGTGGTTAGGTTTGTGCAACCACTGGGTGACGTCACAGCAAGCATGTTCTCTTTAATTCTGCTCAGCTGAAGTGGCACTTGTGACTAAATGAAGTTGAACTCAGGAAGTTCAGGCTAACATTGCAACCTTTTATGACCCATGAAGAGCAGATCACCCTGAACCCTTTCTAAACAAGTTAAATCAAACTTTCAATTAGTTTTAGGAAGGATTAAGTGATTCCCATCTTAACACCAAATCAAATTTAGAGAAATCCCCAAATAAACCTCTAAATGAGTACACATTCTTTCAAGCATGCTCTGACTTATAATGAGAATTCCTTCTGTAGTTATTGAAATGTGTCATTGTGACTCCATGTGCTCTGGGGAAATGGTGATTTTATTTACCAGAAGATACATTACACAAGACTGGCAAATCTGTGTTTTTATGTGAACATTTTATGTGAACATAAAAACACAAATCAGCCAACATACTTTATTTGGTCTGTTAGATATGTGAAACACTGTTGCTCTGTTGTCACAAATACTCAAACCACACAAAATAATAGAGATCATTTAAAAAATGATGACATTACAGAAAGTTCCTGGTGGAGCTTGACCATAAAGCTCAATCAATTTGTAGTCTAGTTAAAGGATATGAACTAAAAAGTCATGATTTTAAACAATTAATTCAGCAACTGAAGTTTTCCTAAACAGCAGCAACTCTCAGTTGCTCCATACTGCATACTTTAATAGATATTAGTCAAAATAATACATTCTACAAAAGAAATACTATGTGGGATTAACAACTGCTTTAATTCAATGTTACATGTAAACAGTTACTTTATAAGTAGGTTCAAGAGGGCCAAAGTGATAAACAGCTGGCGTTAGCTGTGTTTATCTGAAGTTCAGGGGAGGAATATTTGTACTGAAAAGGGCAGTGAAGAACTCAAACTGCTCTGTGATTCATTCCAGACCTTTAACCAGCCATCATTAAATAAACAGGAAAGACACTATGAAAAGAGGGGGAGAAATTTCCTTGCTGTTGTTCTATATTCATCATCATTTGTTGTACGTCCGTTGAACTTAAATGACCAAATAGCATATTAAAGGAATACAGCAAACAATATTTGATGAGCAGATTTTCTGGTTCGGCATGGGACATAGTCTGTATCTCTATTCATCGATTATCAGCCTAATTATGACCACTCTGATGAAAATAGCTCCAGATTGAAAGACAATTATGGAGCACACAGGCTTATTTGGTGAGTGTCCGACAGGAACTCAACCCTACACACAAACACACACATGCACGCATGCACACACACACATGCACATTCATTCACCCAGTTTGTTTGTTGGTATTTCCTGTTAATGACCCTGCAGTTATAATGCAGGAATCCAACTGGCTACTGTTCCCACCCACGCTCACACTCTCCATAGGGTCCATATGTTTGGAGGGAAAGGCATGTTTCCTTCTTTGAGCTTGTTATTGTTTGATCAGAATGCAGGGAAGTCCATTCTTCCCATTATGAGCAAGAACAAGCTTAAATCAAGCCTCACGTCTTCAAACGTGTTCATAGTCGTTTTCACTCTACGCCAAGTCTGACAATTCATTCAGGTTTTTTTAAGAGGACCTTGATGACTGATTGACTTCCTAATAAACACCGTCAATGTACATGAGCTTCAGCTTTTCAAGCAGTTGTCAGGGAGAGACATTTGTTTGGATGGTCATTTGCTTGATTTTTAGAAGAAATAATTAGCTCTGATTATTTGCTTTTTAATAATTAAGGTATTTACATAAACACTTTAAATAATTGGTTTAGTTGTCCGAAAGGATGACGTAACTAGGACTTCTCTTTTCTTTTTTGTGAGGGTTTTGTTACTAATACCCTTTCAAGCCAGTTTTCCTTGGACTCAAGATGGTAATTAGAATAAAAGCATTGTTTAATTCATTTTAAACTTTATACTTTAAACTAAATTTAATCTGAACCACAAGCTTTTTGCATGCCAACGTTACTTGTAGCTGTCACCTGAAAGATCTTTCGTATATATCTTTTCCACAATAAGTCACATTTGTCACATCCAATGTAATTAAAATTTGCTCTAAATAAGTATATAACTAGCCCTAACCCTAATCCTAACCCTATAACAAAATTAAGAGGAAAAAAATATAGATGTGATAAAAGATTTTGTATGGTAAACAATCCGTTCCAATATGGTCACCATGAAAACATGTCCAAGGTGCAAAGACTGAAATCTTTCATGATTATCCCAGTTTTGCAGTCTTTGGATTGAAGTAACACCGCTAAAAACAGGATTAGGCTATCAGAGGACCCAGCTGCACAAGTTAAATTGCAGCTTGGATAAACATTTATTCACATTTTCAATTTGTAAGCCTTCCGCATATTCTCTCTGTGGTGATTTTCCACAACCCTACCATAGATTACCATTGCATCGTTATAAATTTCAATACATATGTAAAAGAAAACAGAGAGGGGTGACACAGGTATCTTCTCTTTTCTGCCTTTTAATTGTGATTTCTGACGATTGAAATAATATCAGATAAGATTTTCCTGGCAAAATATCAGCTACTTGTTCCCAGCAGATCATTACAACGGTCCTTCTTACCTAAGTAAACATTCCTTCCATACAATCAGAAAACACAGCAACAACAGCCACATTGTCACTGACAGCTGATGCAAACAACTAACATGGCGGTAAACAGTTCCTAACTGGCAAGATACAAGCCACTGATTGGCTGTTTCCACATCCACATTTAACTGAGCCACCATACACAAGAATTCTGGGTGCCTTGAGAAAAGTGAAGTACACATTAATATCTTCATGAAAACATCATTTCACAAAGCACAGAGCTAAATTTATGGTCATGGTCTGCATGAATGGAGACCTCATTTCTCTTTCCCAGTGCAGGAAGAAAAGAATGCAAGTTCTCTCTCGCAGCCTGATTTGGGAGGTCTTTTGGATCAGCTGACGGAGGCAGCGAAGACATTGAAAATCCACTTAATTACTTGCAAATAGCAAATGTTTTTCGTAAATAGGCATGTTTTTTTCTATGGAGTCAAATGTCTCCATAGTTGCCTCCCAACGCTCCATGCAGGTGTCATATGAGGAAACAATGAAAACTCTGAAGAAATTCTTGTTTTTGCAAAGGTGAACACATTTTTCTGTTCTTGCAGAGTCATGTATTACAGGTCACAGTCATAAGAGTGACAGTGGACATGAGGTCAGCTCTTTAGCAAGATTTTATAATGTGGAGTCTAACAAAATGTTGCTGTTAAGCATCGCACCTATTGTAGTTAGTTTGCCAGTTTGCTAATTAAGATAATTAATTGACATGATTAAGATAAATTGGTTTAGGATTATTCTCATGGTTTGAAGTTTCTAAAATATTTCCTTCTTTTTTAAGCATCCACGAATATCCATCCATCCATCCATTCTCCTCCGCTTATCCGGGGTCGGGTCGCGGGGGCAGCAGCCGGAGCAGGGAAATCCAGACTTCCCTCTCCCCGGCCACTTCAGCCAGCTCCTCCGGGGGGATCCCGAGGCGTTCCCAGGCCAGCCGGGACACATAGTCCCTCCAGCGGGTCCTGGGTCTTCCTCTGGGCCTTCTCCCGGTGGGACGAGCCCGGAACACCTCCCCAGGGAGGCGACCAGGAGGCATCCTAATCAGATGCCCGAGCCACCTCAACTGGCTCCTCTCCACGTGGAGGAGCAGCGGCTCTACTCCGAGCCCCTCCCGGATGGCCGAGCTTCTCACCCTATCTCTAAGGGAGAGCCCAGCCACCCTGCGGAGGAAACTCATTTCGGCCGCTTGTATCCGCGATCTCGTTCTTTCGGTCACTACCCAAAGCTCGTGACCATAGACGAGGGTGGGAACGTAGATCGACCGATAAATTGAGAGCTTCGCCTTTAGGCTCAGCTCTCTCTTCATCACGACAGACCGGTACAGCGCCCGCATTACTGCAGACGCCGCACCGATCCGCCTATCGATCTCACGCTCCCTACCCCCATTCGCAAACACGACCCCGAGATACTTGAACTCCTCCACTTGGGGAAGGACGTCCGCTCCGACCCGGAGAAGGCACTCTACCCTTTTCCGGTGAGAGACCATGGTCTCGGACTTGGAGGCACTGATCCTCATCCCAGCCGCTTCGCACTCGGCTGCAAACCGCTCCAGTGAGAGCTGTAGGTCCCGACTTGATGGAGCCAACAGGACCACATCATCTGCAAAAAGCAGAGATGCGATCCTAAGGCCACCAAGACTGACACCCTCAACACCTCGGCTGCGCCTAGAAATCCTGTCCATAAAAGTTATGAACAGGACCGGAGACATAGGGCAACCTT